CGATCTGCTGCCTCCTGCACGCTCCTTAATGGGGATCAAGCCCGCAACCTGGGCATGCACCCTGACTTGGAATTGAACCGTGACCTCCAGGTTCATAGGTCGATGCTTAACCACTGAGCAACACTAGCCAGGCACCCACTAGCTGACATTTATATGCTGAAGGTATATTGTTACTTCAACAGAATCTGAAAGACATTGATTTTGTTAAAAGATGCCTCCAGTCAATGGCACACACATTTGTTTAATAAAAGGAGCACCATCATACTTGTACATTGCTGAGCAGATTGGGGTTTTTGATGCAAGCAGAGTAGCAGACTATATTTTGTGAGTTTTATTCTCTGAAGTACAGAAGGAAGCTTTTGAAATGATAGTCTTTTTGATCTTCTGCAATTCTTTATCGATAGATCCTTATACTTGGTTATTTAAAAAAGACAGTGTTGTGGTTTTGACTTAAAGTTTTAAGCATAAAAAGAATTAGAGTGGCCGAAACCGGTTTGGCTCAGTGGATAGAGCGTCAGCCTGCGGACTGAAAGGTCCCAAGTTCGATTCCGGTCAAGGGCATGTACCTGGGTTGCGGACACATCCCCAGTACGAGATGTGCAGGAGGCAGCTGATCGATGTTTCTCTCTCATCGACGTTTCTAGCTCTCTCCCTTCCTCTCTGAAAAAATCAAAATATATTTTAAAAAAGGAATTAGAGTGAAGAGAGTCATTGTGTTTGGACCTAGTTCTTTGTCCTCATTCCAGGGCCCAGTGGTCCAGAGCCTCTGCCTCGCTCTGGCCACTCCCTCCCGGTCTCCTGACCCTGCTGTCCGGCCCAGGTTTCCCTCAGGGCTCCAGAGGGCGGCCTGTGTCAGCCCCACTGTTGCTGAGGAAGGCTGGGTGGGACAGAGCTGGCATCAAACCCAGTCTCCTAATGCGGATCCAACCAGCTGCTTTAAGGAGCCACTGAATAGTAATCGGTTAAAAGTCAACTGACGTTCTTGTTCCCATAGCCTGGTCCGCAGGGAGCTTTTCTCCTCATGGCTCTGCTCGGCTGTGGTTTGTGCTTTCCCTGCAGCCGAATTCCCGGCAGGGCTGGTTAAAATACAGACCACGGGTTCCCTCCGGGAGTTCCCAGGCCTGCGGGTCTGGGCGGGGCTGAGAAGGTGCCTCTCCACCTAGGTGACAAGTAATGCTGCTGCTGCCCTGGGGACCACGCTCCACACGGGGACACAGGCCACCTCACCCACCTGTTGGTGGGCACCCATCCGCACCCTCTTAGCTGTGGTCCCCGAAGCTGGGCCATCCACACTGGACAAGAGAAACAGAAATCTCGGTCTCCCAATCTCCGCCACACCAGCGATTCAAGGACAGCGTCCTTCCAGACACCGTGGGAGCTTCCAGATTCTCAAGATAAACTGGGTAAGTCCCATGCACCCAGCGCAGGGACCAGGGTGCAGCCGGGGCTGGGGGACAGAAGCCGTCCCTTGTCCAGGGATCACCAGCCAGGCTCTGGGGGCGCTGTGGTGGGGCTGGCCACCTGGGGGCAATCTGGGGTCCAGGGCTCCG